AAAGGGAAGTAAGAAATTTACAAATGTCTCTAACTCAGGAGTAGAGCTAAGTACAGATCTGGCAGGACTCTGCATCACCTCTTGCTATCCATCTCCCATATTCCCTTCTCCTTTCTACATATGGCAAACTGTAGGGATTCTTAACTGACTTCTCCTCCCCTTTAACTCAGGTCATGCATGAAGTCTTCAGTCACTGACCAGCAGATGAACAGCTGGGTCACTTACCCACCTTTTGTGCTCACTGTTTGCTAGTCAATAGGAAAGCCTGGCATATGGTTCAATTTTGATTCCAAAAGGTACGGTGGTAGGTTATTTTACACTAAATATGGTTTTAAATTGAATGGTCATTGTCAACTAGAATGCATTAAGTTGAGCATTTTTAATTTAAAAAGGTAACAGTCATGTAATTTCAATAGTCACAAATGTAAAGAAAGAATTACCTTGAGTATCAGAGAAAAGAAAGTGTATTTAGCACCAAGAACAATATGATACACTTAGAACATACAGGTTGAAAGAAGCATTAATGGCCTAACAAAACCCAGAGTATAGTTATATATAGACCACAGGACAGTTACAGGAATGGTAAGGAAATGAGTTAGGGTTTCCAGGAGCCAGTCCATAGGTTCCAACATTATAGTATTTTTAAGTCAGCATAATATGAAGGGAAAACGCTCATTATAAAATTTAAAAATAAATGATACACTCCATTTTGGCCATCACAACTTTTGAAAAATCATTGTTTGGCAGGTTTTAATGATGTGAATTCTCAGATAGATATTGCTCCAGCTCTGAAAATTTTTGTATTCCAGCACTGTTTCTTACAAATAAACCCTGTGATTACATGAATTCAAATATATTGCAACTTCTCCCATCCTCAGTAGTTCTACCCTTCACTTCACCTTAACCTATGACAGATACTTAACATAATGGGGGGGGGTGTCTAGAAGGTGTGGCTATCGATTCTTAGAGAACTTATTTCCCTCTCAGGTATTTTATAGAATTTACCCTCAAATATCCACGGCTGTTTTAAATCATTCCCATTATTGGGCTATTTTCATTGAAAAAGTTTCCTTTTTACTCTCTTGATCTTACTGCAGTTTCAAAGTGAGTACTTTATGGAAAGTGTTGGCTGATTCCACAAATCGTTATTGTCTATAGAATTACTAGTTCATTCATGTCTGGGAAGGTTGTGCTTTACTGGGAGTTAAGATGGGCTGTACCAAATCAATATTCAAATCTCTAACATCTGGAGGAAAAAAATTTGGATTTGTTGATAATACAGTACTTTCTCAAAGTTCCAGTTGTTAATGGGAATAATTAACTAGAACTGAAAGTAGTCATTCAAGGAGATTCATCATAACTTAGGACAGAGCAGGGATTCTCCAAGTGTGTTCCTCAGTCCAGCAGTATTGGTATTACCTGAGAACTTGTCAAAAATACAATTTCCTCAGCCTTCTCCCAAACCTGAAGAACCAGAATTTATGGGAGTGGGACCCATTTTCACTTTAGTAAATACACTCTAGTCTTAGAACCTCTGCCACAGGATTTATTTTGGTCTAGAAAGGGGACAACTTCCAACTTTAGCTATTAACACGTGCTTTGGATTTAGTATGCCATTTTTATCATGTAAAACCTGGGAATATTTGGCTAGCATTCTTGTGTTTCTAAAACAAGATTTGTTCTTCTACTAGTTCATAGCCATCTTCTCAATAAAGTCTGTCCACTTAGTCCTTAATAGACAGTGCAGACCGACTGGCCCTTCTCCTGGCTGAGGTGTAGTTTCCTGAGCTGATATGTGGAAGGCACCCTCTCTTTCACTGCTTTTCCTTGAACCAAAGGAATTTTTATTCTAACTGATCTAGATTCCATCTCTTTCAATAAAAATATTGGAAGAAAGGGAGCTCTGGTGGCCTAGTGGCAAGAAGTTGCACTGCAATCCCAGAGGCACATGGTTCAAATCCACCAGATGCTCTGCTGGAGAAGGAGGGGCAATCTCCTCCTGTACCAGTCGGATCTGATTTGACGGTACACACACACACA